GAAGAATTTCTCAATAATGTGCCTTGGTTATGGTAGGTAATTCGAAGAAAAAATAAAGTGTTACTGTTTCTTATTTGTAGAAGGTGTAAGAGGAAAGACCACAACATAATGAACTAATTCATCACAATACCTGAAAACTCTGACTTCACTCTTTTGAAAAATAAGGTGGTCTTTCCTTTTACTCCCGATCAACCATCAAATATCTTCAATTATGAATAACACGAATGGATTGAAATATTTAATTAAATTATCTCAAAATAAACCTTCATTTTGGTGCAATATTGAAATTAGCTTGAATTCTTCATAACCTCAGAATAGTGGGTGACCCAACAGGTCATGGGTGGTCTAGTATCTCCTAAATATTACTTGTAGACTTGAACTAGTTAATTATATTTTTTTACATTTTGAAATGTATAAAAAAAAATTAATGTTCTTTTTGTGATACCTTTCAGCCCACCTTCAGCGAATAGAGATCCCCACAAAGGTGAAACTTGTTACTGAGGAGTGGGTTCCAGATACTGGTCTAGTCACTGCAGCTTTCAAGTTGCGTCGGAAAATTATTCAGAACTATTATAGATGTGATATTGAAACTATGTACGGTCGGATCTCAAATGGTATTTCAAAATCAGCATAGAACGAAGTTTGAGTTTTGACTAGATTTACAAGGAAAACGCATGCTACTAACTGGCTTACTTGTACCAGTCTCAATCCCTCTAATTAATGCAAAATCATGCAAGATATTTTTTTTTTCTTGTCATTTGGGTGTCATAACAATAATCAGGGCAGCTAGTTGTGTATGTTTAGTTAATAACTTGAAGTGCTTGAATTAATTGAGAAAAACTTATTAAGACTAGGGGGAGGTATTGGTAATCTAACTTAATAGTTATATATACATATGTACGCATGTATAAAAATGTGGTACGTTAAATTTTGTGTGATATTTTGTCTGATAATATATTAGTTGGGGGATTAATTTAATAAAGACAGAAAATTGTTGGTTGCAGTTTAGGAATGCAAGTTTTGATATTTAATTTTTGTGGATACTTAATGGCATACTTTAAATTAGTATTCCTGCATAGATGATCTCAAGCATATAGAAAAGTTATTTTAATTGGAAAGTAAAATTTCCAAGTAATGTGTTACATACTTCAGATGTTAGGTTTATTCAATAGCTACTGATAACACCTCTCTACAGATCTTTTATGTTTACTGACCATAGAAGATTTATCAATTCAAGGCAAATTTTCAAGAACTATCATGGATACCACAGCTAATTAGGTTAGTTTTTCTGCATTTGAAATAAACTGGGTTATGTACATTTCGTTTCTCTCTCTCTCTCTCTGAATCAACTTATTTCCACATGCATATTTGTTTTGTACTTGCTATTCAGTAGGATCATATCACAAGCTAGCAAGGTTTAATGAAGGCGTGATGACCTTATTTTAAACTGCAGCTGTGTTATTTGCACTTGGTACTCTTTCGTCAAAATAAGTGACACCATTACTACTGGTAAAGTAATGCACTAGAGTAAAATTCTCCATTATCTAATAAGAATATGTGTCTCTATTATTGTGCATCATAATTTTTATTCATTAAAAATGTTTTTCATTGGCTTAGAAAGTGTTATTGAAAGTTGTGCCTTAATATTAAAATGTAAGCTATTGGCAGAACTTTTGTTTGTATAAACAGCAATCTTATAACATCTTGTAACTTAATGAACAACTACAGAAGATTTCTATATTGGTTAATGCTTTGCACATCAGTTTTTGTTAGAGATACCAAGTACCAATTTGTCATTTAACACTTGCAGTACTAATTTAGTTGAGTTTAAGTTTTCTTAGAGCAGTTAAAGAGATTAATTTTAATATTATGGGTAAAAAAAATTATTACAACGCGATAAGTTGTTTGAAATAAATTACAATAGGTGAATTAAAATATGAAGTTTCTACTTTTTCACTGCATGGCGCTTAGTTTATTTGGTATGCTTCGTGTTAATAATAACATGATAAAGCTAACATTCTTAGAAAGAGTTTTTCCAGAGTGTCTGCTTACTAAAAAGAAATAATAAGTTATTCCAGAACTTTCCTTTTACCAGTTTATTCACACTTTTGTTCAACTAAGATCTAGTTGTACATTTTCCATCAAAAAGAGTTTATACATTCTAAAGATTATAGATATGAAAGAAAAATTAGCGAGTTTGTTATTAAAGGTGAGAGGTGAGGTAATTCCTTTAAATACTCTGTTTTACTTAACATGTTAAGTTGGTATTCTTACCAGGTAACAATTGTTCAACTATGTGTTCTCTGTATTTGGACTCGCTTATGAAAAATGGCTATAATTTCATTTCTTGATGTTAAATCACAAAATGTTTTGTGTAGAATGTGTAACTCCATTTCCACAGTTATATTATACACTTTTTCTCCAGTATGTATTTTTTTTCTATATTCAAACTGTTCCCTATTGTGGACATTGTAAAAAAAGACATTGATATAAAAAGCACCATTAAAAAAGTTCTTACTCCATTGGTCATTGTCAAGACATCTGTTAGTGGTTGTACAAATAAGGTGTTTAAAACTACAATCTGGTGTATACAGTAATTATGTCAATGGATTAAAGGTTTAACTTAAGAGAAATGTTGGTTGTAAAGTCAGTGATATGCACGCACACACACACAGCTATGACAGAATTTAAATTTTATTATTTTCTGAAAGTTGTAATACCCTAACAAATCAAACTACTAAGAGATATGAAGAGCCATATCATTTTTTGTTCTTGAAAGTACAACCTAGAGAAATATAAGATTTTCATATTTTTTCCAACTTGTCATCTAAGTTAATTGAATGTGCACCATGCATAGAATGAATTGTTTTTAAATAAGGCAGCTAATTTACTGTCAGTATTAGCATGTTGCACTGGAATTTTGAAGAAATAACATTTGTCAAACCCATTTTTGTTGACAGTTTGTTTGGAACAACATATCTTAGGAGACCTAAATGTTGGGACAACTATAAACTTAATCTTTTTACTTACATTCAAATGTGTTTGTTTTTTAAATCAAGTTTGGAGTAAACATTTTTTTTATGTGAAACAAAAATAAATTTAGGACATTAATCAGTCATTAATGAAGTTGAAGCTAAATGAACGTTGAATCAGCCACATACAATCATAAAGTTGTTTTTTGTCACCGAGTTCATAATGAACATCTTTTTTTCCCAGGAAAATTCTTTGTAAATCTAGAACCATACCAATATGTAGTAAAGGAGCCTTTTTTTCTAGAAAAGTTCTATCTTGTCTGAGTAACAATAGCTTTTCATGTATATGAATCATTATTTGTTTAAGTGTATAAAGAAAATGTTGGTGCCCTATTTCAGTATATCAAAAGCCGATTGTATTATCTAAAGGTCAAGGCTTGTTGAAGAAGATGTGTTGTTGTAGAAAGCATTGAGACTTCATTGTTAACTCTACTAGCCCTGATGGAGAAGTTTCATTCTCTCTATAAAATGCTTCCAACACTAAACTCCATTAAAGATTTGTAGAAGAACTGTTGTAGGACTACACGGTTGAATTGCATGTAATTAACAAATAATTTTACTTAACTGTCGAAATATATTTTCTAATTTAGATAAGTTCTTTGGTCTAATGTTTTTTTAATAGGTTACTATTTCTCTACATTTACAATAAGTTGCTATAACTTTTATTTCTCAATAAATTCCATTCCATGCAAAACTTCATGATACTCTTTCTACAGCCATACAGTTGTTTAAGTGTGAAATATAATCAGAACTACAAGGTAGTTGCAACAGTAACTTTATATAATTAAGTATACAAACATATAATGACTTAACAGAACTACAAATACTTTCATCTTTATTTACAAGAACCACAGTCAGCTTATCCATGGGAGTTAATGAAAACTTCTGTGTTCATTATTAGAAACAATGCTTTTTAGTATTGAATGTGATAAAGTATATTTTTACATGAAAAAGTAATGCATATCCGATTCTTATGAACATAATTTATACAAACGCTACAATCTGTGTGGTATAAAGGTACAAATTATTTCAGTAAAACAATCTACATAATTCATGGATAGCAGATTCAAAATGCTACACTTATAATTAATGAAAGTATGAATAACAGCATAGTTTGTACATCTAGTGTCACTTTGTTTTTATCCATTGATGATAAAATATACATTTCGATTCAATTGTCCAATCACACTGCAAAAATGCCTTGGAATAGAAAAAAAGTAAAGTTAAAAAAACAAGACTTATAGTGACACAAAGCTTCTTTGGGCAGTGTTTTTCATTAGACATGCTGGACATGACATTACTTCTGTTGTTCAGCAAAATCCATATTACAATATGATGGTGATTTCTATGGGGTAATTTAATTCAATGTATTTTATGCTACATACTATAAAATATGTGGACCAGTTGTTGGTAAGCCATGAAGTTGAATCCATCCATATTGTGCTTATGTGTTTTTATTATGGTGGACAAGTTGATTTATCACACAATTGAATACATCCATATTGTGGTTATGTGTTTTTACTATGGTGGACAAGTTGATTTATCACACAATTGAATACATCCATATTGTGCTTATGTGTTTTTACTATGGTGGACAAGTTGATTTACCACAGAATTGAATGCATCCATATCGTGGTTATGTGTTTTTCCATGAACAAGTTGTTGATGTATCAACTATGGCCATGTGTAGCCACCTTACAAATGGATTGTTAGAGTCGCAAATCCTTGCATCGCATCGTAAACTTTTTTGAGTAATGTATTTACATCTGTTCCAGAAATGCTCGCAACAACAAATTTAAATATATCCATTTTGTAATTTTTTAGCGACTTTTTCTTAAAAATTAAAATGTATTTGGAATATTACATCTCTTCAGCTTTTTCCCATGAATGGTGATCATCATAACAATGAAATATTTAAAAATTTCGATTGATGAGTCAGTAATAAGTAGTGTAACTGACTGTAAGATATTTTTAAGGCATACCTATTAAAAAGCTGAACAGTAAATATTTCTAAAACGTTATGCCTCAGTAGATTTTATTTTAATTAAGAATATTGTCAGTCGTTTACTTTTAATAAGCCAAGTTATAAAGAAAATGATGGACGTTTGCTTTTGACAACAACTTTGGGTGAAGTTTTCCCAAACATAGCACCGAACATTTTAGACACTGTAATAATACTGAGTTTTCTTTGACGAGGCAAAGAACGTTGAAGCTGCAGTGATCTAGCTTCGCGGATTAAGTTTTCAAAAGCTGTAGAGACATCAACGAATGAATCTGCAGCCGAAACTTCATAAAACTGACAACCATACTGACTGGCAAGTTCGTTACCATCTTCCAAAGATACCTGCCGACCCTGTTCCATGTCTTTCTTGTTTCCTAGCAACACAACAGGGACATAACTTGGCGCCCTCAGACGATGAATTAAATCAAGACATTCGTGGGCTTTGTTAAAACTGTCACGGTCACAAATACTGTAAATCACTGCACAGGCGTCGGCCCAACGTACTTCCTCTTCTGGCACAGAATCGTTCTGAGAAACAAATTATGAATGAACATTAAACAAAATTCGAATTTCATGAATTAACATATATATATAGGCAGCCGTACAAACTGAATTAGCAAAAAAATGGGCAAAGTAACTGAAAACAAATCACAAATAGCCTTTCTATTTCTTTAGAAATTTAAAAACATGAATTCAAATCTCTTCGAATAATCCCCCGGTGGGTCATAGGTAAATGACGAGGCTGCAACGCTAAAATTCTGGGTTCGATTACCCATCGTGGACACAGCATATCGTTCAACGTGGCTTTGCGCTGAAACAAAAATCTTCCAAGGTTAATCTGTAAAAATAATACATACATATATATATGGTAATTTATATAGCATTCATAATTATTGTGTGTAAACGCAAGGAAGTCCACCTAGAAAAGATGAATTGTACGAGGGTTGTCCGAAAAGTTCGTGGTCCACTTTATAAAGAAAAGAGAGATTGGTTCAACTATAGTTTATTTTTCAATGTAATCACTTAAGTCTATACACATGCGCCAGCGTTGCTTTAAGGCCTTTACGCCCTTCTGAAAGAACTTTTGTTCTTGATTCCCAATCCAGGACTGGACAGTATGTACGAGGTCATCATCTATCTGAAATCTTCGACTTTTCAGAAAGATTTTAAGGTTAGAGAAAAGAAAAACGTCACTTGGGGCTAAATTTGGTGAGTGAGGGGATGATTGAGTAATTCTAAGACAGCATCTTGGATAACGTTCAAAACAACACGTAATTTGTAAGCTGGGTCAGTCCTGGTGGAAGATCACACCTTTTTGAGAAATCCTCTTTTCTTTGATTTCTTGACACAAATTCTTGATAAATGATGCATAGTAATCTTTTGTAATAGTTTGACTCCTTTTGAAGTAATCAAGTAGTAAGTCGCCTTTGGAATTCCCCCCAAAAATGCCATGATCTCTCCAGCAGAGGGTTGCGACTTGAACTTCTTTGGAGTGGGCGAACTTGAGTATTTCCATTGCAAACTTTACATTGTTATTTTTGGGTCGAAGTGGCGAACCCAAATTTCATCCATAATTATGAATCGAAACTTTTTGAGTAGGCATTGGCTTTCAAAAACTCGGATCCACTACTGCTCAGGTGACAACAGTTTTGGAACCCATCTGGCACTAACCTTGCTCATGCCCAAACTGTCACTCAAAATGCTTGCTTCAGTACTTTTACCGATTCCCACTTCCTCTGCTAACTTTCTAATGGTAATCCTTCTATCATATATAACCAAATCATGAACTCTATATACAATTTTTGTTCTGGTCGATGCCAACCTGACCTCGGATCATCTTCACATGATTGTCTACCGCGCTTAAAGTCAGCATACCACTTCTTCACTGTTTAGGCTGGAGTATCCTCTCATAATGTTGTTTTCATGTCCTGGTGATTTGTCACGGTGCATTTTTTTTAACAAAACATTTGATCTCGGCTCGAAGCCCGATCTTCTCTGTGACGTTTAAAAACTGTTCACTTCTTTCCTTCAAAAACCAGCAACACACAAAATAAGCTCGGTAAGTTTTATGTTGCATTTCTTTACTCATAAGAAGGGTCAAACTTAATATTTATCAGAAAAAAATCATACATTCCAACTTGTTTGTGTTTTTTATGTGGGGCCACAAACTTTTCGAACAATCCTCGTATGTTGATGTTATTTTCATTATCTCACAAACACTTCTTTCAAATATGTTGATAAACTGAAATACAAAGTTAATTTCATTATCCCTAAAATCTCTTATTTTAGTGAGATTGTTCCTATAAAACAGCTGTTATACCAATCATTTCACAAAGGTTTCACTTTTAGCAAAAAGTCCTCTGGTGGATTAGCGATAAGTTTACTCTAAAACCCTGGGTTGAATTCCTCTACAGTGGACACAGTAGAAAGCCCAATGTGGCTCTGCTCTAGAACAAACAAGCTTAGCAAAAAATATTGTAATAAAGCTTTCTGATGATTTGTTGGATTTCGTACAAAGCTACACGAGAACTATCTGCGACAGTCATCCTTAATTTTGAAATGATAGCTGGCCAACACCACCAACTCTTGGGCTACTGTTATCAGATTGAATAATAGGATTTGACCGTCATTCTTACACTGCTTGGCCTGGTTGTTAGGTCGCGGGATCAAGACCCGTCACATACTGCCCTTTCAACTGTGGGGGCGTTATAATAGGAAAGAGAAGCCCAAGAGTTGGTGGTGGGTAGTGTTGACTAGCTGCCTTCTCTCTAGCCTATCACTTCAAAATTAAAGATAGCTAGTGCAGATAGCCCTTCAGTAACTTTGCGCAAAATTCAAAACAACTCTTATGTTGTGGCCACGACCCCAAAATACGGAGAGCCTTTTTGGGGCGCTAGTGAGACGCGAACTAGGGACCCGCAGCTTCACAATTTAGCACGCTTATCAATGGATTATGCTCGGCCATTTACCAAAGCAAAAAATTATTCCGCACGTTTACCTTTTTGGTTGCTTTACCCGCTATATGAATTAATTGATTCACAGTTCACTAAAAATTTCTTTCTTAATCTGTATATCTCTCTCAGAAGTGTCTGGCAGTGAACATTTTAAAGAGGTGACCAATGTTAGGTTTTTATAAGTATTGATGTGTATGGACAGGTTTCTTTATAGTAGGTGTCTGTGATTTGTTGGTGATAAATTTCAACAATAAACAAACAGCACACAGCCCACTTGTTTTATCCCCCGTGGTGGGCAGAGCACAGATAGCCCATTGTGTAGCATTGTGCTTAACTACAAACAAACCACTTATTTTAAAATAATATATTAAAACAAGTCAAATGTATGTACAAATGTTCGTTACACAGTTAATTACCACGGTTGTATTTATAGCTTTAAATAATTCTCTTTTTTGTCAAACGTCCACACAGTCTGGTTCAGTTACTTTAAACCTAACTGACAAGATGAATTATTCTTCTATACTCTGTTATCACAATACAGCCAGTGATAATTTCACTTACGTCACCCCATTGGTTACGACTGTTGTATTCATAGGTTTAAATAATTATTTTACGTCAAAAGTTCACGCAGTCTGGTTCAGTTACTTTAGAACCCAGTTGACAAGACAAATTATTTTCTCTACTTTGTTATTACAATACAAGCTGCGATTATACACTTTAAAAGTTGCCACTATACACTCTTTATCGCTAAATTGACGATCACCTAGTCTAGACCTAGCTATCTAATTTTGACCTATTGAATTTACTTTAACATAACTTACCTTGTTTCTTTCTAGCTTGGTCACCTATATATATATATATATATATATATA